GAGGTCCCAGTTGACTTTGTGCTCTCTTCATTCTTGGACAAAATCAGCATCCTCATTTAGGAGAGAAAGCAGAGTGAGTGCCCACATTGCCAAAGAGGATCTCTGCCTTTGAGAAAACCTGGACTCCTCCCATAGGTTCTTTACTCCAGACCCCCGTGAGATAGCCAGCATTGTACACAGCAGGGAGAAACATCAGTCTCAGAGAGGTTAATTAACCTGCTCACTGTTTCACAGCAAAAAGGTCAAAATCTGAGACGCAAATCAGGTTTGGTTTACTCTCAGGTGTTCTTTCTTCTACTTGGCTCCTAGCTAAAAATTAAGGTGTATAATTTTTGACAGTTGCTATAGTCTCGCAGAGTTCTAAGGCAATTTTTAAAAAGCTCTGAGCTTCATTTATAAATATGGTTTAGTAAATCATTCCGTCCAAACCAACCAACCAACCAAGTGAAGAAAGAACAAAAGAAAAAACTTTGGCATTATTTTCCATTAGATACATAACACCTGTGCATTTAATTTCCCTCTATCATCCCAATATGAGATTGGTCTAATGCATAATGAATCTATATGATTTGGACATGTTTTCAAAAAATTTTTCTCTATTAATATGTAACACAAAATACATAATTTTAAGTGGATTTTTTTACTGACTCCTGGTACATGGCATGTGAATTAAGCCATACTAAGTTTTTAGCTGGCTATTCAGTATCACATCTTTTAATATAAGCTGTATGTCAAGTTGCTTTTTAAACCCAATATATTAATCCTTACTATAGTTTTGAGGTTATGGGGACAAAACATGAAGAAAGCGTATTTTGGGTGTTACATAAAAGTATTAAATAAGGGATGCCTGGGTGGTTCAGTCGGTTAAGCGTCTGCCTTCAGCAGGTCATGATCCCAGGATCCTAGGATCAAGTCCCCATCAAGCTCCTTGCTCAGCAGTGAGTCTCCCTCTCCCTCTGCCTGTCACTCCCCCTGCTTGTGCTCTCTCTCTGACAAATAAATAAAATCTTAAAAAAAAAAAAGTATTCAATAAATGATTCCACTAGTAGTGATTTAAAAGAATTACTGTTAATGTGTCAATGTAACTGGAATTTAAATTGTTAGAAAATATAGAAAATATGGTGTTTTGGCAAAAATTACACATTAACTAATAGAATTTACTTTCAAATAAGGACCATTTATGTTTGAAGTAGAGCTACAGGCTTCCCCAAACTGGGGTTTCATAGATTTTGGCTCTTGCCTGTTGTTGTGAAGGAAGCAGAATTGAAGAACTGAAGTCTTTAAAGAAGTGGAACAAAGAGGATAAATGGTGTATGGGCTTTGCATTCTTTGCAAGGTCATGTAGATTTAAAAAGGAAACTTTTAACAAAGGATCCAAGGAGGTGAAGAGGATTACAAATGTTCTAGATGCATTGGATGTAACTTTTGCCAGTCTGTGTTTTCTTAGTTTCTGTGATATTATTATTAATGGGTTCTGCTCCACAAGTGAGTAATACTAATCATCTTCACGTGTTCTGCAATTACTTTCCTTGTTCCTGACAGATGCCTTTGGGGGCACTTGAGCAAGAAGAAACCCAGGGCCAGGGTGACTGAGGTCTGAAACCAAAAAACAGCAAGGGTTGATGCAACCAATATATGGACATTTGATCTTAAGAATTTATGCAACATTAAAAACATGTTATTCCAAAGTTATCGTTTTTCCTACTTCTAGAAGTGGCCAAAACCCTTCGGTAAAAAAAGCTTCCCAGAGAAGGGGTGAGATCCTTACATCACTTTCCAGTTCAGTCCTTGTGCTCTCTTGACACCATCACACCAGCAGCGCAGATGGGTGTGTGGAGATAGAGTCCTGTCTCTATGCAGGCTTCACTTCCCATAGACTTTATGCAGTAGGGATTTAGTTTGAGCTTAATACAAATTGATAATAGAATTACTTTAATCAACACGTGATTATTATCAGGGCTTAGTAATATCTGAAATAATCTTTCTTCTTGGGGTAGGGACTTAAGGTTTTACAGGTGTGAGATATAAAGCTATGTAAACTAAATTCTGTGTGGGGTGCCTGGGTGGCTCAGTTGGTTAAGCATCTGCCTTTGGCTCACAGGTCATGATCTCAGTCCTGGGATCAGTCTCCCTGCTCAGCGGGGAGCCTGCTTCTCTGTGTCCTCCCTGCTTGTGCTCTCTCTCACTATCTCTGTTGATATCTCTGTCTGCCTCTCTCTCAAATAAATAAATAAAATCTTAAAAAAAACAACCCTAAATTGTATGCATTTAGCTTGTCCAAAGGAATAAAATAAGGATATGCAAGAAAAATTAATTTGTGTAGACCTCACCTAACTCTGTTCCAGGTGATGTTTAATTATGTCATGATGGAATCATCCTGTTAACCCTGAGTACTCATCTTGCTTTTGGTAGAATTTGATCCAAGCCATGTAAACAAAATTGGTTTTTCTAAATTGTTTTCGCTAGGTGATTTGTGCTTATCTGGCAGGAGTTACAAAAAAGAATGATAAAAATGCTTTATCTGCTGGTCCGTCGGCACTCAGTTATATATCCCAGTGCTTCACACATTTCTGTTTACCAGCAGGACTGCCTCTGCAGCTTTTTAATAAAAATATGGTAGGGGATTGTTGGTCCCAAAGATGGACAAACACACAGGTGTACTGATACCTTCTTCTCAGAACATAGTGGCAAATAAGCACCTGCTCTGCATCCTAGTGGCTTCCGTACAGAAAAGTCAGAACTACTCAGGGGACGACACTTCTCCAGTGGCCTGCAACAGGAACAACTTTTTCACCCCCCATTAGAAGAACTGTTGGCGAAATCTATTCAGTAATAAGAAGGAAGGAACTAGGGGCACCTGGGTGGCTCAGTTGGTTAAGCA